CGAATAACAATACACACGTACATACACATGCATGCATGCACACACGCACGCACACACGAATTCATTGTTTTACTTCATCACAATGTTAAATGTTATGCATATACATGTACTTAAACATACCTGTAAATATGGTGGTCTTGCAGCACTGGGTTGCATTCTCTGTTGTGGCATATATTCCTGAGCCCTTTGCGGACCCATCATTTGCTGCTGATTGGGGAACATCATATTTTGTTGTTGATTCAAAATGCCTTGTTGCTGCTGCTGCTGTTGTTGAAGCAACTGCTGTTGCTGCTGTTGCGTTTGTTGCGGTGTTTGCTGTTGTTGCTGCTGTATCATTTGTTGTCCACCATATCCTGCATAATTTTGATTCATACCTAGGAGCAGGGAGACAAAGAAAAATTAATTTAAATATACTAAAACAAAACTATAAGAACATCAATTGCATTCAACAAACATAACATTCAATATACTATGCTTAATGTCATATTTTTTTGCATTAAGTTTAATGCAAAACATTTTACAATACCATATTAAATCTAATTATTAAATCTAATTACTACAATCTGCAATTATATAATTTTAATGTATTAAAAAAAGTTTTAATTAAAAATTAATACAGAAGACATTCAGGAAAAATTAGTTAATAATTAGAGTAACTTAATAACAATATATCGCTGTAATATTTTGTGAACCATTTTTTTAAATTATACCTTGTTGTATTCCAGCATATATCCCTTGTTGCTGCTGTTGTTGTTGCTGTTGTTGCTGTGCCGCAAACATGCCTTGCTGCGGATTTATACCAGGCGCTCCATGCTGTGCTCTCAATTGTTGTCTAATGAATTGCTTCTGCATTCCTTGGAACGCGCCTGGCCCAGCAACCGGCGTGGTATTCGGCGGTTGTTGTTGCGACCCCATGAATTGAGTGGACGGTGGTAATCGCAAGCGTAACATATTCGATAGAGCTTGTTTGGATTGATTATTCATCCCCGGTCTCTCATATCGCGGTCCACCAACTGGTGTAGGTGGCAACTGTTGACCGTATCCGTATTGTTGCGCAGGTGTGTGAGTTTGTTGATTGCTGTACCACTGTTGTTGAGGTTGTGGGGGTTGCCCAGTAAACATTCCAGGCTGTTGCGCAACCGGAGCTTGTTGATTGCCAAATGCCATTTGTTGCAATTGGGATGGTGGTTGCTGTTAATTTAAAAAAAAGAAAAAGAAATATAAGAAATATAACAATAACTCTTTCTTTCTCGTAATATATTATCACGTAATTAAACTCACTTGCATCTGTTGTGATATAGGTGTTGTAGGTGTAGCAGCACCTTTAGCTCGTCTGTTATGTCGCTTATTTTTCATAGCTTTTCCTTTACCATTGGTATTAGCATTACCAACCCCGGCGCTACCGACGCTGCTGCTAACTCGACCTGGTGAATCGATGCTCATCGGAGTATCTGCCTTGCCAGGTTCCGATTCCTTCTTGTCAGGCTCCAAATCTTCGGGTGGTAATGGAGGTGGTTCCAGATAATGGCTAGCTGGACGAATTTGGCTGTGCGTGTGATATCGCAACAGTTTGTGTGCATTCTGATATGTAAGCGGTTTACGTTCTAATCGAACAGCTCTAAACCAAGCCCAGGAAAGCGGCGCAGGATTTTTATGACCTTCTAAAAGTTCCCATGCTGACACTCTTTGAGAATCACATACTTGCAGTCCCTAATTTTAAATGCAATATATTATATACTTTATAAATATCAACGTTATGTCTTTTCTCGATAATGAAAAAAAAAACACTTCTATATTCGAAGTAAATAAAAATAAATTTATATAAAATAAATGTTACCTGTTTCTTGTCAATGCTATCAAATCCAGCGATCTTGTTGCCTTTAGTATCGGTTAAACATCCAACGGGTTCACAAGTAATAACTTCCATAGTTAGTTTTGGTAGTGGTAGAAGTTGTCTGACAAAGCGAATGCTCGATGAATTTCTATCACCCAATTCTTTCTTTAATTTTTTCATTAGATTTTGATAGTGTTTTTTATTTTCGTCTTTCTCGGATTGCGAATCTGATACTAATGTAGAGTGAATTAGCGTTGCTAACATATCTATAACGGTTGTAAATAATTCTGCATTATTATTCAAATCTATAACACCGTAGCTGACCAGTTGAACTAATAAAATTGCCCAATCCGTTGTAGCAGTCGTATTCCTTTGTATCGTGTCAAATACACCTCCGACGAGACTGAATCTTAACTGCAGCGCATCTTGCAGCACTTCTCTAGTTTTAGGATCTTCGGAACCGATGTGTTTTTCTTCCTTGCTGGTATTTAAAAATTGTGAAAGCTGCGAATGTAAAGATGTCAATAGACCCTCTCTTTGATCATCTTGGCCTTTCAGACATGTTAGTACAAGTGATAGAAAAGGTTGATGATTGAACAGCGAAGGCGACTTGGACCTACCTCTCTCGCGACCTGCTGTTTTCGACCAATTACCTGATTCTAATACCTGACCAGCCACTTTTAAAACTCTACCTTGTACCGCACTCGGCAATTTGGAAACTAATGGAGCAACTAACCATATAGAACCCGATCTTTTGTCAGGTTTATTACTCAAAGTGTTATTCAACTGAAAAACATCGATCGCAGCTTTCGCGACTGTGTCCAACCATTGAGAAAGTTCGCTGGAACCTGATGCAAATTGCTTATACATAAGCTGTAGATCTAGCCAAGACATTCTTAGACTCCACTGTTCCAAATTTTCCAAAATATTTGTAATATGAGTCTTTTGATCGATAAAAGCTTCAGTTGGTGTTTCGGGATAACAAATCATGTGTAATAATTTCTGAGCTTGCCGTGGCGTTAACATATTGTCCAACAGCATATCTTGATGACAAAGCTCTTCTGGATTTTGTAGGCATCTCTCCAATACCCATTCTTGACTGCAGATTTGACGTAAAACATGATGAGCAAAATCAGAAAATCCCTTGACATTTTCCGTTGTTATGCCGGCGCTACTGCTGGATGAGGACATAGCCAGATCAAGACCAAGATCATCACCACCTCCTAAAATGTCACTAGTTCCCAGGATATGACTAATCGATAGTTCACCAGGACCGCTGCTGCTCACACCAACTCCAACTCCAACACTAGCTGGGCCACCTCCCTTACTGGAATGGCTCAAAGGTATATCGACTTTTTTCGGGGGTTGCTTAGCAGCTGTGGCATCTCCGACAACTAATATAGCCTTTAGCACTGCAAGTACTGGCCCTACTCTTATATTATTGTGAGCAGCTGCCAATAAGTGCCTATCGCAGCTTAATTTTATGCTATAACCCCTTGAATTTCCACTTGGAAGTGGATGAGGACTCGTACTAACTGAATATAAAGCCGGCTGTGGACATTCGACGGTTTTAAAGAGTCGCAGTAATAAATGACAAGTTAAACGTGCACCAGCTTCCACTTCAATATCAATGTCTCCACGACCATCGTTACACGTTTTCACCAAAGATGGTAGTGCTATATGCACAACAAAATCTTCCAAAGAGAAACAATGCCTTGCTGTAAATATAATAAGCTATTAAATTATTGAACGCAATATGTCGCTTTTAGTATATAAATGCAAAGTTATATCCACTTACCAATTAAAATTGATGTAAAAATAGCTAGAGAATTGTGTATACTTAAATCCTGTACATCAACTTGATTTAACACATCAATGTAGAAAGCAGAACTATTGGAGGAGCAACATAATGCCATAAGTACTCCCAACCATTCGGCATTAAGAGCATTGCAACAAGCAGTTAATTCCGCACAAATTATGGCAATATCATTCAATTTATCATTATCCGTTTCGCTGCAAACTGCAACAATCGCATTGCATACAAAACTATAACGATTGGCCGGTGTCTCGTTCAATTGCCTCGCCCACTGTGGCTCAATTTTTCCGCCTCTTCGTGGACTAGTAAAGACATCCACCATAAATTGCGAATTGTAAACATGACTCGAAGGCGTTGGCTGCAATGTGCTATAGAGAGCAGCTCGAATTTTCGGATATGCGTTACTAAACGCTTCCACTCCGTGTGATTTCGTTTTCAAAAGAGAACACGTCGAATATAAATCGTACAAATGTGCTAATACACATCGTTCGGCGGAACTGCAGTCGCTTGGATTTGACACATGTTTCACTACTTTGCAGAGTAAATCAAATACCGCTGTCGTCTGCTCGGGTGATACTGTAACAATCATTTATATATGTAATAAATGTATGAAATTTTTAAACATCTATGAGAGTAGTTAATATACTTACATAGCAAACAACAATGATATCTTCTTAATACGCCGACTACATATAAACTCAAATTTGTGGTATAACTTCGAACTAATTGACTATTTCTAACTGTCAATTGTGCTTCCACTTCTGGCAATTCTTTCAAAATTTGTATGCAAACATCAATTAAGCCATATATATTTAATGCTAATTCCATCAGATCAAAAAGAAAAGCGACATGTTCATGAACTGGTAAATAAGACGAGCCAGCTAATGCAAATGTATTCAACATTTCTATCACTTGTGTTGCACATTGCCATGTTACAACATGCTGATCGAAGTAACTTAGATTTTGGAACTTTATAGTGACAGCTTCAAAATTAAATTCACTTCGAGAATGTTTCTTTACTTTGCCTCCCTCGGCAACATCGATGCTGAATTTTTTGCCGAACAATTTGCACACCTCTTTTGTCATTTTTTTAACAATATGCCTAGCTTCATCTCTAACACGTCCAACACCATAAAGTAATACATGTCGCTGATTACAATCATGTTGACTACACGTCTCATCCTATAAATATACATCGATAGATAATTATAAAAAATTTATAATTAATTATAATATTACTAATATTATACTATACTATATTACTAATATTATATATATTAATTATAATATTAATATTACATTATAATTAATAATATTAAAATTATATAATTTTAATGTAACAACTTTTACTTTGTTAAAATAATAGCAACTTAAATTTTACTAATACTAACAAAATACTAAAAAATAAGTATAAAAATTTACTATTCAAAGAAGTATATATATATATATATATATATATATAATATATAAAAAAAAAAATTATATATATATATAATATAATAAAAATTCTAAATTATTTTTAAAAAATATCTTTAAAAAATTACTTGTGGTAGTGGAAAATGGGTAGTATATAATAAATGTCTGCTATGACTCGATGGCATTTTTGAATCGAGACTTTCATGACCTCCATGACCAGTCAATGCATCCTCTTTGGGACTGTCTGGTGCATCCATACTATTTTGTTGATCTTCTTTGATGTGTTGCAATATTTTATCTAAATCATCATCGATTTTACTGTCATCATAATCCATAGTACGTCCATGATCCGATACTTCTAATTTAGCTGGCTTTAAATCTATACCAGGAAAAAGACTATCTTCGTCGATTGGTTCTCTATTGCTAGGTGTTCCGGGTTTGCTAGCTACTGGGCCTAGTTAAATAATTTCATAATTAATCAATAAATTTGCCAAATTTTTAGAATCTTTCAATCAGTATAAGGACTGAGTCATCTATTGTTTATATTTCAAATATTTTTTACTTATTTTCAATTTATTAACATATTGTTGCATGTCTTGCATCAAATCATTATATAAAATTAAATATAGTTAGAATATAGTTAGAACACAACATATATTTTTTGATTTTAATAATATGACTTTAAAATATGAAATCACATAATTCACATAATTTTTCTTAGTTAGATTTATAATTAGGTAATTTTGAAATAAATCAATATATCTCTCTACCTTGTACAAGATCACCCCTTGAAATAAGAGTGCACATATACGCGTCATGAGAGAAAACGTCATGCCTTATCAGTTCCGAGAACAGGTGAACTAAATTTGTAAATTGAGCTTTGGATTGAGTCGAAGTATTATCAAGTATTGGCGCATCTACATCCAAGAATTTCATAAGTAATGGTTGAAATATTGGAAGTACAGGTGGACTTCCATTACTACACGTGCTGTCTTTATCATCATTATCATTAGTCTCGCCGGTAGCTTCACTCTGTCTCTTTTCGAGAAGTTTAGCGACCGCCATCGCTCTGTGTTCCCCCCAACGTTCGGCACTCACTGCCCATTCGCACAGAATCTCAACTACTGCTGAATCCTGTTGTGGATTATATTCTGTCTTTGCATCACGTTCGTTAGAATTATCTTTTGGTGGTGGTGTAAAAATTTTTGCGTACAATGTGTCAAGTGAATTAGAGGCATCCATTTTATCAAAACTGTGTCTATCAAGGGCATCTAGCGCGGCTAGCACTTTGGTAGTCGTTGTTCCAGCGCTGCTTTGTTGCCATTTGTCGCACGACCATCTACCTTCCGCTGCCTGAGATCGAGCTCTTATATTTTCCTGCGCAATTCTCAGTTGTTTCATTGTAGGATTGCCAGAACTCGCGGGTGGACACGGCAAAGCTGCAGGCGGACATGGTAAATAGTCTAAAGGTGATCCATTCAAAACTGATGGAGCCTTTCCCTCACCGACGCTGTTCCAGACCAATGCGGTGGGACACTCTAATGTTATGACCTAAAATTTAATAAATTTCCTATTTACATATTCATTATTGATTTAATAATAGTAAATATTCTTCTTAATATATAAATTTATTATCAATATATAAAATAATAAAAATATTTTTTCACCTGTATTATAGTAGCTAAACTGTAAATTACATCTCTGTGATGTGCACAAGTCAAATAATCATTGAAAGCAACCGTCAGAGGATTTAATGGCCCTTGAACAGCAACAGTAGTGTCTTTGTTGCCATTAACTTCATTTTTAATAATAGATGGACTCTGAGGATTGTTGTTGCTCTCGACATTATTACACATGTATGCCAATTTACGACAGCATAAGTATGCTAATCGCCTGGCTAGTAACTCTGATTGTATGAATTCTTCTAAATATTGCAAAGCTAATGGCAATAACAACTTCAATATACCATCTTCAGATGGAGAAGATCTTATTTTATCCAATAGTTCTAGAATCCATTGTAGTAATTCTTGTCTATCCAATAAGCCCTCTTCAAACATATATTTAGCCAATTGTACACAATAATGCCACTGTTTAAGCGCTAATTTATGTTCTTCATTCATTGTATTGCCTGTCACAGACAAACTGCTTGAAGTAGGTGTGAGTGGTTGATTATTGACAGAGCCATTGCTTGTGTTATTGCTTGTGCTATTACTATTAACACTATTATTGTTATTACTACTATTGTTACTGTTACTGCTGCTGTTGTTGCTACTGCTTGTTCCAGTAGTCCCATTACTGTTGCAGGAATTATTTGTTGTACTATTATTGTTACTAATATTAGCTGCATGATTGCCCATATGATAATATTCTTGCAGTTTGGACAACTGATCTTTCAAAAATTTTATAAGAGTACCTGTCCATTCTGCCAAAACAAAAACAATCATAGTTTTAGCATTTAAAATAAAAAAGAAGTGTATGTTATAACCATAATAGCTATACTTTTTAACAAAACATAATATAATAAAGTGTTTTGGACTTGTTATAAGCAAAATAATGTCAAAAAAAATCAACATTAAACAATGAATAAAAAGGAAATATTTTTAAAAATTAAAAATATATTTTCTCAAATCTCAAATAGTTGAGTACAAATAAATATCTCAACTCTACTTTGTCTTCATTAATGTTTAAAAATACAGGTAAATAATTAGTAATAATTAGTGACAGTAATAATAAAAAAAAAGAAATCAAAATAAATGATGTGTAATAAAATTGGCGTACCTGTGGTTGGATCAGGCAGCTGGCGTTTCTTTATTTTAGCTTCCGAAACAGCAACTGTATAAGCCGAACTGAGCTTAATAAACCAAGCTGCTCTTAACATTGGTACTTGATATTCACAGAGCATCATAAATATTTCTTCTTTTTTATTAAAGTTAGGAGCCTTCTTCGCAAGAGCGACCAATGGCTTACTGCCTGAGAGGTCCTTGAACCATGCTTCAATGCCGTTCTTTGTCCTGGCTGTTACTGGCCAGAAGTTGTCCTTGGGATTGATCTGCTGCCTCTTCCTGCCAGTATCAGGCATCGTCGCGAGTTCTTCCTTCTTGGCGAGGATCGCATTAAAATACGCGCCAACCTTCGCAGCAGTGACATTGTTGTTTCTAGCTGTTCCACACTCTTCTGTCAGCTGGATCGTAGTGGTAAAGCCATGCTTGACATTAGTAAGCGAAAGCTCATCTTCCTTCTGTTTCAGTTCTTGGGGATAAACGTCCGGGGGACCGAGTCGCGGCCTTTTCAACGGCCTCTTCTCGTACAGTATTCCCATCATGGTACAATTGATAATTACAAGAGAATACAGTCGTTAAGGAATACCGATTGTGAGCATCTGGTTGACAATTCTGCAGAATTTTTCCTCGTATTAATTGCGAGTATGCGCAATGTCTGCCTACCGACGTCGTCTATTTACATTTGTCATCGCTATTACCAATGCAAGGTTTTCGCACCGACGCGACGCTGTCAATGTCACCGCACCACCGCGGCAGCAGGATGCATCCCCGAAGTGTACGTATGCATGATTGAGAGATACAAATTCAACGTGAACCGGTGGTTTACATAATTACACTGTTCACACTTCTCCGTTTTCTCTCTTTCAAAAGCTTTACGCTTGTGTAAACAGATATAATTTATCTCGGAAAATCTCAGCTGTTCAAAATCTCTCATCTGGAGTTCGCATCACTCCACTTTCGATTTATTCCACGCATTATGGCGTATTGTGATGGAGGACGCAAGTTTGAATTAGACTTAAAGAGGATTCACACACGGCGTCCGATGTACAACATATGACAATTCGATAGCCAATAGGAGCCCTTTTCAGTGTGAATCTTGCAAAAAGTTCGTTCGACAATACGTCGTATGTCGTTGTCGGATGTCGGAACGCAGCTGATGGACCGATGAGAATTTGTTTTCGAAAGATTAAATTCTTTCTTTGTGCTCTCGGCTGTATTCCGATATTTTACACGACATATAACGTATTGTAGAATAGGCCTAAAGCCGTATAGTAGAGCTTGCGCTCTTCTCACTTGCTTAATCTATGCTTGATCTTCTTTTCTGTATTATTTTATTTAAAATATAATACAAGTTAACAAAATAAATATTTTACTTCTTGCGTAATAAATGAATGAAAGAATTGCTTGATTTCGCCATCTGAAAATAAAATCAAATGCATTTCAAGACAATGAAAGAATACAAGGTGTATAATTATTATAGACAAAACAAGTTTTTCTGAAACAAAAAAGTTTTATTAAATTTATCGAGTAAAAGTAGAAATGGACGTTTTTTTATATATGCCCAGTTTTTATCCAGCAGAACAATTGATCGTGGAAAAATCTAAACAACTTACGGTCAGTTAATTAAACAGCCGTTCGCGAATGAGCGCGAAGTTTAAAAACGGCATCAGCACTTGGCGGCGATAGCCGCAACGGCAGGGATGAGAGGGCCGGGTGATTATTAGTCACCAGGAGGAGAAAGACTCGTTGTCGTGCGTTTCGTGACGTGTCATGGCAGCGATCGGGATGTGATACGCGTTTACTCGCGACGACGTTTCGCGCAATCCCACGCAGCGAGAGCGACTGAGAACTGCGACGTGCGCAGCGTATGATGCGATCGAGTGCTTTCATGTAGGAGCTACTACGCAGAGAACGCAGAGAGCGGAACGATAGACATTTCCCTGGGGGGGACTCGACTGCAACGACGACGGTGACAGCGACAGCGATGAAAACAACGACGGTGATTTTCTACACGCTGTGCGCGTTCCACGGTGTCGTGGCCTTCTACCTGCCCGGTCTGGCGCCCGTAAATTATTGTAAGGCCGGTGAGACCACGCCAACCTGCAAGGTACGTGGAACAGAGATGATCGGTCAGTCGGTTGGTTGGTTATGATCGGGAGAAACATCAATACGTTCAGCATGATAAATTGTACGTCCGTGTCCTTTGTATCTTCCTCGGGGATTAAATTATATATTTTTGCCTCATTTCGGAAGTCGGATTGTTTCCGCGGATAATTCGTCGTATATATTTATGTGTCGTACATTTTTTACATAAGTTTGTCAATTCTTTATCTCTACACGTTTCTTAATAAACACATTGACTCTATACAATGTTACAGTTCTTGTATAAATTATATTTTGTTATGATTCTAGATACATATGTTAATGTATATATATATATATATATATATATACTATATATACATTCTATTAAGTCAAAAAAAAACAAATGTAAATATACACACATATACATATATTTAATGTTGTGTAATCAAAGTTACATATTTTATGGTAAAGTTTTAAATCTTATATCGGATTTATTAATAATAGAATTATTTAATTTTACTTCAGTCCGAGATCAAACTGTATGTGAATCGTCTAAACACGGAAAAATATGTCATACCATATGAGTATAGTCAGTAAGTAATATATCACAATATATATATTTAATTTTTTATTTTATTCTCTTTATAATATATATTATATGTTATTTTATTGTAATAAATGAGACTTTTATAATAATGTAATAATTTTTTATAATATTCTAATCTCTAATCTTATATTTTATTTCTATAATCTAGCTTTGACTTCTGCACAGCAGAAAAAGGACAATCTCCAGTTGAAAACTTGGGACAGGTTGTATTTGGAGAACGTATACGTCCATCTCCATATGAGGTACATGCAAAGATTTAAGACTAAATTTTTTTTTTAAGAATTCAGATTCTAAGAAGAAAATAAGTGGAAGTGCATTTTATTTTACTTTTAGTTGGAATTCTTGAAAGATGTCAAGTGTACTCGTGTTTGCACAAGATCATATACAGCGGGTGACGAAAATTCTGAAAAGAAACTACAGTTATTGAGAAAAGCAATAGCAGTAAATTATCAACATCATTGGATAGTTGGTAAAGTATCAAATTTATCATTAATCAATACTAATCAATAAAAATATTGTAATTTTAATATTCATATTATAGTTTTATATCTAAAAATTCAAGAAAGATTATTAATTTAAAATTCTTAATGACAATTTTTGATAAGCAAATACACATCAAATATATTAGAGCCAATATATTTCTATATATTAAAGACTTTAATAAAGAACACAATATAATTTAAGAAATTAATAAATTTCCTAGTTATATTCAATTTTTATATTTAAAAAAAATTTATGCTATATATATCACACACACACACACACACACACACACACACACACACACACACACGTAGTATATATGTATGTAGTCTACTAACAAAAAATATTTGATTTGTTCGTTATTATTTCCATCATAATAAATTTTTGCAAAGAAAATTATTGTACAAATATATTATTTAAAAGAGTATTAATAAATATTAATAATTATATAGCTTTATCTTTAAGATATTTTTGTAATGATTGAATTAGAATTCCATTTCTATCAGATAATATGCCGGTAACATGGTGTTATCAGCTGGAGGACGAACGACAATATTGTAGCACTGGATTCCCCATGGGTTGTTATTCCAAAGAATCTAGATCCCAACAAGACACTTGTACTATACATGTAAGTAAAAAATATAAAAGATAAATTGCTGAATTATATTTTACAATTATGCAAAAGAATATAAAATTTAATTTATCTAATGGATATTTCTTTGTGCTATATGCTAGGGTCCGTACAACAAACCGAGAACTTACTATTTGTTTAATCATGTGAATCTTACTATAACTTATCACAGTGGTGCTAAAGAAGAATGGGGATCGTCCTTTAAGGAAAACGGTGGTCGTATTATATGTGGGTATTCAAAATTTGTGGATCAAACCTAATACTTGCCAGAGTTCAATTTTACATAAATAAATATTGCATTAATCATATAAACATATTTTTTTAATAGCTGTGAAAGTAGTGCCTCACAGTATTAAACATTCTGTTACACCTGATTGCGAAAGTCAAATACCATTAGAGATACCAGCCGAGCTCTCAGCTGGCCAGCCATTTGAAGTGACATATACATATTCTATTAAATTTGTGGTAAGTCTTTGCGAATAGTCTTTGCAGTGTAGTACAGAATATTTTAACAATTGATAGAAATTAATCATTCTTTATTATTTTATCTTAGAAAAATATATGCGTATTATTTCAGAAAAATAACACGATCAAATGGTCATCCAGATGGGATTACATTTTGGAATCAATGCCACATTCAAATATTCAGTGGTTTAGTATTCTTAACTCACTGATAATCGTTCTATTCCTCTCCGGAATGGTAGCCATGATAATGCTTCGCACTCTACACAAAGACATCGCGCGATATAACCAGGTACTTATCTACTTTATTTAATTGTATTATATAATTTAATAGTTACATCTCAATCTATATCTTTCGATATTTATTTTCCTACACAAAATGAATGTGTAAACGATGTAAATGCATTCTTGAAAAATTCTTTGATGATTTTATGTAATTTGGCAATTTAATTACGTAATATTTGAAAAAAATAACTTTAAAAATCGCTTATCTTCTTCGCTTAATTATGATAAAATCAAAGAAGGCTTTATTTTTGTATCGAAAATTTTATTTATGAAATTTGTTGTTAAAAACTTCTAGATAAAATTTAATGAAATTTTAATTTTAATCTTTAAATATAAAGAGATTGCTTTTTATTAAAAAAAAAACTTTATTTTAACATTTAGTAGTTCAAAATTTTAAAAATTTTATAAAACACTAATCTTGCAATTAAAAAAATGCTTTGACTAATGTAAAATTAACTTGTATATGCAAAATCGTAAAATGCTTTTATAGAACAACATATTTTATAAAAAGGTGAAGGTAACTGAATGTTTTCTTCACTTTTACAAGATTGTGATAACTATTTGTCTGTGTTGCGATAACGCAGGCCTACTTCCAGATAGAATCAGGAGAAGATGCACAAGAGGAGTTCGGATGGAAATTGGTACATGGCGATGTATTCCGCCCTCCGCGCAAAGGAATGTTGCTTTCAGTTTTGTTGGGATCTGGTGTTCAAGTTTTCTTTATGACGTTAGTCACATTAGGTACAGAACACTTACTCAGTTTAAATTGAAAACTTATTTGAAACTAATTGAACAAAATTTAACAAACTCATTAATTGTTTTATTTCGAACTGTAAATTATAAATATTATAATCAATACTTAGCGTTCGCTTGTCTGGGTTTTCTGTCACCTGCTAATAGAGGTGCATTAATGACTTGTGCGATGGTATTGTACGTTTGTCTGGGAACCACGGCGGGCTATGTGGCCGCTCGAATATATAAGAGTTTTGGTGGAGAAAAGTGGAAGTCCAATGTGTTACTCACATCTATGCTTAGCCCTGGGTAAAACTTATTTTTTAAGATCAAATCTATCACTAGCTGTATTAAAAATAAATTTATCTCTATATCATTTCGTAAATTATTGCATAAGATTATGTTTTATTTTTCAGAATCGTGTTCAGCTTGTTCTTCATAATGAATCTAATATTCTGGGTAAATGGAAGCTCAGCTGCAGTACCTTTCAGTACTTTAATTGCGCTTCTGGCGCTATGGTTTGGAGTATCTGTACCGTTAACATTTATCGGCGCTTATTTTGGCTTTAAGAAAAGGGTAATTACTAGTTAATATTAAAATTTTATCATAATACATTTACAAATAACTGCAATAATGCTATAGGCTTTGGAGCATCCAGTGCGAACGAATCAGATTCCTCGACAAATACCAGAACAGAATTTCTATACGCAACCAATACCTGGCGTCATAATGGGTGGTGTCTTACCATTCGGATGTATTTTTATACAATTATTCTTCATACTTAATTCTCTTTGGTAAGTGTTGCATATTTATATTTTCATTAACAAACGTTCTTATATAAATCATTCTTGCTAGGTCAAGTCAAGTGTACTATATGTTCGGATTTCTCTTTTTGGTTTTTCTTATACTTGTTATTACGTGTTCCGAGACGACAATTCTACTCTGTTATTTTCATCTGTGCGCGGAGGTAAATATATTTTATAAGAAATCATATTTCTTTTGTTAAACATCATGATGTTGATGAAATTCTTTGCAGGATTATCACTGGTGGTGGCGTAGCTTTCTCACATCTGGTTTTACTGCTGTCTATTTGTTAATTTATTGTATACATTTCTTTGTCACTAAGTTAGATATTGAAGGTGCCACTTCTACGTTCCTGTACTTCGGATATACATTTATTATGGTTTACTTATTCTTCCTTTTAACAGGTATTGTCGTATATTTTCTTGAAAGTTTTTTTAAACTTTATTAATATTTAAAAAATAAAACTATTATTTTCTTTCAGGTTCCATTGGTTTCTTTGCCTGTTTTTGGTTCGTGCGCAAGATTTATAGTGTTGTAAAGGTTGATTAAATAAAACTAATGGTGAGAATAATGCCTGTGAGATGAATGTAGTATGATGAGTGAAATTGATTGTAATGAGAATGAGTGATAGTCGATATTATGTAAACCCGCGTTAAAAGAAAAAGGAGAAGTCCATAACGATAATAATGAGCGAATAATAACGCATTCTTCGCGTCGTTATTGTTGAGATATATCGTTGGAAGTATCATCATAAATAGTTTAAACAATTCAATGTAATAGACCGAAAATCTATTCAAACAGCATAGATAATAATGGATAATGCTCAGCAAACAGAATCTTTGGTGTTTAAGATTCGACTTTTTCACCGCAGCCATATTGGTTTATGATATAGGCGAGAAATGACGCGATAAATTAATTATTGCAATAATTAATATGTAATAATTAAACTGCTTGAGCACAGTTAAGAAATAACCTAAGGAATTATTTTATACGTGACGAATATATTTACATATTTAATTTATATATGTATATAAAGATAAAAATATGTCGCTAATTATGCTCTTGTTTTTTATGAACTTCCAACATCTTTGCGATAAATATCATCTCCTAAATATCACATATCTCAATAGTCGAATTGAGTAAAGACCCAGCATAATCTGGAATTCCAAATTCGAATTTTGAAGTGACATTTTCCGCAATAAAAATGTCTCGTGAGAAAAGATATTGGTATTGATATCATATTTGATTATTGATTTATTAAAGAGTAAAATTTAGTTCTTCGAGCCGTTACGTTGCAAATCCGTTAAAAATAACGGTACGTGGTTGGCGACATAAATATTCTTATCTTGAATTTATGTATATTGTAGATGATAAATGGCACAAGCATCCTCTCTTTGAGGAAATATAAACCGTTGTGGTATAGACTAAGGGTCACGATTAATAAACGAGGGATCGTGCCGAGTATCGCCCATTATTACTTTGCTGTTGTAACAAATAGTTTATTTTATTAACGCGATAGGTTTACTTTTAGAAAACGGACGTCGGTATCCTTATCGACTATCTGACATTCTTTATGAAGTATTTTCCCGAATAAGCATCTAATGTACATGCATATTGATGTATGTTTTAAAGTGTCTGCAAAAATCTGTATCAACATCTTGTTTTCTTTTTTCTTTGCTATCAAAATATTCGATCTGCATCGCCAAGCTGCGTACAGCTGCAATACATCTCAGATTTAGCGTTTCTAATTAAATCTTCGATGTGGTACACGAAATTAATCCTGGGCAAATAATTCATTGTTTAGTTATTCATTTATTACTACAAAGACACGAAAAGAATTTGTAATAAAACAAAAGTATTAAACGTACGCGCGCGTGCGTGATAATATAACAGTACAATTCGATTCTGATTACAGAACGCACGTGTCATCGTGTTTTTCGAATTATAAATTAACTACATAAATAATAAAAATGTACAAATTGAAAACTAACTTGACCATTTAACTTTACATCTCCTTTTTTTCATTGTCTATCAAATAACAGCATTCGTAATGTGTGACATTTAATAGTCAATATGCATACATTCTGTACTCGGATTTTATAAACTAAAATATCTATGTTAGCGTTGAAAATGTTATTGATACAAATAAAATGTCAAATAAGTTTATATGTACTTGCAATAAATTTAAACAATCGTGTTCTATTTCGCGCGGTATTTCGTTATTAATTTATTAAGTTCTACGATTATACAGCAAATTATTTAATGGTAATAACATAGGCATATGTATTATTTATTTTAAGCATAAATGTATTTATATACTCATCCATGCTCTCAATTTCTCGACATAACTGAATAACAAATTCTCCAATAGGTATATCGTAAAAAAAAGTAAACAGTAAATGTACCTCTGTATATGCTAACAAAGCATGTTTTCTTCATTTTTTGGGATTTATTAATAATTTTACATGTCATACCATGAAATATTGATTGTATTTACAGACATGTCCTCGCCCTGTGCTAGTCTATACACGATTAAAACACTGACGCATTTCCAAACGTAGCCGCTGCTATCGATAAGCCGAATAGTTGGTAATTGTTGAGCTCAGGACAGCCAAAGTAGACTACGAAGAAGAATACTTAACGCAGAGACGAAGTTCGTTTTTCACCCATCAATACCCGAAACAATATCTTCATAATACTCTTCCGCGCTTCTGGGCGACAGTGTTTTCCATCCAGATTGCATCGTATAACTTCGTTTCTCCATTCGAACGTACTTGTGTCAAAGTTCAATTCGTAAAAAAAAGACGAAAGAGCGAAGGAACGAACATTACTCTCATGAATGCCAAGTCTATTCCACATTTAACAATGTGTCTTGTCTATTTTCTTCAAAGAGGTTCCCACGTCGTAAAGTTATTCCGTGTGGATGCTGCGAGTGTGCGAGTCTCTCACGATGTGGTTTCAACATGACATAGAGATCGTGTATTATCTGCCATCAACAGTTGACGCAAACACGCAGTACCATTATACTGCATCTGAGCTACAGTTATTGGCTCTCTGTGAGATAGATAAATGTTGACCTGTAAGAAGTATGGTTTAATTCTGATGCACGAGGAAAGAGGGATCGAGGAATTGGAAGGACGTTTGATAGTCATGCATTGGATGATATCTGTAAACTTGAAACCATTGAAACTGAAAATAACTCAAAATAAAGGGCAAGTAGAGAAGATCGAAAAGATGGCAATGCAAAAAGAAACCGGAAAGAGAAAATAGATTAAAATATGAACACAACAAATGTTAAAACGTTAATTCTCAAACGATTCCAAAAGAAAAGGATCTGTCTCTGATACCAATAACCAAATATAGAATCTAGAATTAGAAAGATTCTAAGATTGAAAGAAATCGATTTTAGTTAAATTAAATTTAGGATAAGTCAGGTCAGGAAAGGAAAGGTACATTTAATGTTGTCGACGATATACGCTGATCTCTATTTTCTGGGACTACGTCGACGTCGACCGTCTCTATTTCTGTCAGCACGTCTCATCTCTTCTAGCCTGCGCGCGTGTTCTGCCATGTGTTGTCGTCGCATCTCCTCCTTTACAACTATCTGCAATGTTTTCATATAAAAATATCAATTTACTTATTCATTTAATTAATATGATGAGCCAGAAAGAAAAAAAGAACAAAATATTTTCTTAAGTATTGTATTAAATATTTCATCTACACACACACACACACACACACACGCGCGCGCGCGCGCGCGCGCGAGAGAATAAATATTATATATATATATA